AAGATACTTGGCAGAACGAACAGTTTGAACCTCGACGGCTCCCACCCTCAACGGCACGATGGTGTCAATCCGTTTTTTTGTCAAAATCACGATCTCGGTTTTGCTCAGAGCAAGCGAGAGACCGTGGTCTGCCATCCATGCGTTTATGGTACGAAAACCCGGTTTAGCTTTAGCTGAGCCAGCTCAACGCTACGTGCAGCTATCAAAGCTGCAACGTCGTCTGCGTACCCAACCAAGACTGTTTCCTCAGGCATTTCAGACCTCAGAAGGCTGTCATAAGCGACGTTCCAGAGGTCTGGGCCGAGTATGGAACCTTGGGCAGCACCAGAAGTGACACTCATCGTCCGCGGGCCCTCCGCAGTGTCATACGTTAGGAGGCGAAACCGGAGATAATCCTCTATGATGCGCATGAGGTATGCCGGCACGTGGAAGGTGTTCTCCAGAGCATCCAGCATATCGCACCACCTCGCCGAATTAAATGCATTTCGCACATCGAGCGTTACGAGCAGCACAACCCTGCGAGAGTAGTGGGTAAAATCCTCAGCTCTCATCACGGCTTGCTTCACCTCCTCAATCGCATCAATCGTTGATCGCCCTATCCTGAATCCATACTGACGAGGGGAGAGGTCCCCCGCAGCGACAACGGCTGAATTTAGCCGGGAACGGATCAATTTCTCGAGGACTTTGCCAGCCGTATCCAACATACACAGAGGTCTGTAAGAGGATGGCAGATCTGGGTCTCCCTTGCCCTTCCCAACAAGCACAAGCCTAGCTGTCTTCCAGCACAAGGGGAAAACCCCTTCAACCAGGCAGGCGTTATACATGCTCAAAAGGATCAAGGGGTTGGTAGTCAAAACCTTCTTGAGGACTTCACCGGGCACCCCATCGGGACCAGGAGCCTTGTTGTTCTTCAGGGATATGACGGCCGCCACCAGCTCTTCAGGGCTGAAAAGTGGGACGTCGTCCACCCTTCCATAATCCCGCAGTGGGCGCAACGCGTGAGCCGGGAAAAGGGACTCGACTATCCTCTCCATAGTGAACCTGTCCATGACGGAAGGTGGAGAGTGGGTTCCAAGTTTCTTGGTTACAAGTTTGTAACCCAGGCCCCACGGGTTGGAATCAACATCGTCCCTTAATTTATCCCAGCAACTGCGTTTACTCCGATTGATGGCTCGACGAAGATACCTCCTAGCCACCCTATAAGCATCCGACTTACGCCGTCTGTCTAGGGGTTCTCTAGCCCTGGTAGCAAGTCTTCTGGCCCTCAATGCCGCTCGACGCAATTCCGCAATCTCGGCAGTCCACCAGTACACAGGACGCTTATTGCACCGGTATCTCCTGCGAGGCATAGACTCATTGCAGGCCGAGACAATCAGTTTCATCGTGGATGTAACTAACGCCTCTGCGTGAGGCACGCCAGTTGCAGGATGAACCACCGGCGTTCTTCGTAGGATGGCTCCATTGAATTTTGCCACGTCCAGTTTTTTAATGTTCCATCGAACGGGCACTTGACGAAACGCTGCCACTTGTCTCTGATGACCATCCAGGACGTCAAAAATTATGTACTGGTGGTCACTGGCCGTGTAATCCTCCAGGACTCTCCAGGCTCTGATCCTTGGCAAAAGAGACTCAGATGCAAGGGTAATGTCTGGGATCGTTCCCCGCATCCCAGGGCGCCGGAAAGTTGGCGTGTTGCCCTCGTTGACGACGACGAGTCCGGCTCTGGCAGCAAAGTCCAGAATGTACTTGCCCCGGGAATTTGTGAGGGTCATTCCCCACTCGACAGCCCTAGCATTAAAATCCCCACCCACGACGACGTGTCCTGTGGTATTGCGCACGCTCTCTTCAAGGCGGTCTATCTTCTCACGAAAGTCACGGATGGCCTCATTGGGAGTGAGGTAGACACTAAAGTAAGTGACATCCCGGCACCGAACCCAAACGAAACCTCGGCCCTTCGCGTGACCCCGTACTTGTACTGTAGCTGCATTACGCGCCCAGATTGCAGCAGTACCAAGACTATCAGGGAACCAAAAAGCTGGGTCCCTATCACGGTACTGGTACTGTTCGCTGACTAAAAGCGCGTCGACATCGTGTTCTAGGGCAAACTGACATAGAAGTGCGTCAGCCGTCCTGGATCGCTCAAGATTGCATTGAAGGATTCTTATCTTCGTGGGAGGGCTTTCGCTTGTTGTAGTGCAGATTTAAATGCACTGCACTGTCCAGACCCAGCTATATGCTTCAAGTGTTTTTCAGCCAGCCCATTTTCTTTGCAAAGAAAACAGGACTCGACTTGGCAGTCCTTACGGATGTGACCGACCTCCCCGCACCGAAGGCAGTTCTTGCTTCGGTCGGGTCCCTTGCAGTTTCGGGAGGAATGGCCGAAACAGAGGCATTTAAAACACCTCTTTACTTCCACTCTCCGTCTGAGCCTGCAGTTGACCCAGCCGACTCTCAGATGTTGGAGTGCCAGCACCTTATTGGCATGTGCGTCTGCCATTTCGGCGACCGCCATCCGCTGCTGGCTCCTATTCGGTTTTGTGAGCCACACCTTCAGAAAAGCCGTTTGCCCACCAAGCTCGGGGATAGCTTTCTTCAGGGCTTCCACAACATCAGCCTCCGTCGACACACAATCAATGTCTCGAACCTCGACTGATGTCTTTGGCTCAAGAGAACGGACGGTGCCCTGGCCTTCGACAGCTGCCTTCAGTTCGGCAGTAAAGGCTGCTTTGTCTTTCGACCTACCCAGTTCAAGGAGAACGTCCCCGCCCCGGGTTTGTCTAATCGACCGTACAACCGTATCGGTCTGCTCTGGCTTAGCATTGGCCTTGATTGCACCCAAGACCTCGGCAAAAGATCTCCCCCTGAGGGTTTGACAATGATTGCCTCCATCCTGGGCTTTTTTGGCCGCAACCTTTTAGGTGCAGGCACCGAACCGGGCCCAGTTTGGGCCACACCAGTTGGCTGTGCCTTCACTGCCTCATTTTTCATGGAGGCGACCTCCGCCCGCCTCAATTGCCTCTTCTCCTTTTTGGAAAGGCGTTTTTCCCAAACAGCCCCAGGTGTCTCCACCACTGACCCCTTTCGGGAACTTCCCTGAAGAGGGGTCGTGGGTTGCTGTGCCAGTTGGCGCCTCGCTCGAGATGCAGCTACGTCCGAAAATGACGTACCGTTGGGCACAGCAGACGAGAGGTCCGTCTGAGTCGCCTTGGCCTTTACCGTGGTCTTTTTGGTCTGGACGCCTTCTTCTCTTTTTGGAGGACTCTCCAATGTGGAAGGCCTCCGACGTTTTTTAGAAGGCAGCACTCTTTCATCGGGCAGGGACACCACCTTTTCGGCAATCTTTTCCATGGTCGCCTTGCTTACCAGACGGCAGGCAAAGACGAAGCCAAGGTCATCCTCTAGTTTTGCCATTCCATTTTTTACCACTTGGTTTACGGCTCTCTGGGTCCGGAAGGTGTCCAGCATAGCCTTAATCGTCTTTTCCATGTCACGGAGCCGGGTTTCAATGTTACTATCTGCGTCAAGATATTCCTGACGCAGAAGCACAATCTCAGAGCTTTCCGACCGCGACGTCGCTGTGAAGGTTTCCTTTGGCATCCCTACAACAGTTCCCGGCAATGCCAGTTCGACATCTACATCGCCAACATTTCCTGGACCGTTTCCAGCTCCACTTGCCGAAAGGGATCCTAACGGGGGGAACGTAGAGCACTTGAAAGGTGCAGGTGGCGGAGATGTCCTTACGTTTTTCGGTGGTGGCGACCTCTTAAGCTTGGAGCTTCGATCAAAGGGGTTCTGCTCCACTTCAGACGCTTTATTTTGCTCATTTGAGCTCCTATTCAATGATGTGTTTGTAGGATTTTTATTAAAACTCATCGTGTTTTCTCCAGCGCATCGTGCGGCAAGGAGCGGCCCGGAATCAGTCAGGAACGGGTATACCCTCGGGGACCAAAAACCCCTACCCCGGTTCCCCGGGGCCCGACCTCCGTTTGCCCAGCACCGGATACCTGACATGCCGGGGGTCGCCCGTCGCAATGCAGAGCCCGACCTCTGCATCCATGCCGCACTCCCTGACCAAGGACCGAAGTGGCTGGTTTCTCACGACCCACTGATAAAACCCATCGGCAGTGCAGAGCACACATCAACCCCTGCAACACAACAGGGGCACTCCCAGGGACTCCCAGTGAGTTCGTCGGTCACCCTTTTAGTCGCCTCTTACGACAAGCCCGAGAAGGCTGCGGTGCTATTCTAACCCGGTACCGCACGGGGTATCTCAGTTCATAGTACGTGTATAGTCAATGATAGTACTAATACCAGGGACAAATTTATCTTTTGCGATCCCCAAAAAAGCTGATACCATTAACACCAGGGTTTGGACCGCTCCCTTTCAAAACGTAAAAAATGCCACTGGCGTAAAAACATTAAAAATAAAAACACAAATTGTTAAATTTTTTTAATATGCCTAAACGCTCTTTCTCAATAAGTAAAAAGCAAACATGTTTATGAATGAGTTTGCGTACCAGCACTATCCAAACATGGGAAGTAGGGGTTTGTACCTGATTATTATGAGTTCTTTTCAGTATTCCATTCACTTCAAAAAGACAAATAATTTTGTACTACATTTGTATGCCTAATGGATGCCAAATATTCTGAGCTCTCAACACAATACAACATTGTTTTCCTTGTTATCATAAGAAGAAATTTTATTGGTGTACAATGCAAGTTTATGGATGTATCTTATTAAATTGAGAAAGATATTTATTTTATGGTAGGCTTTTAAAATGTACTAAAAAACCAAATAAAAGGGTTCTTGTTGAGCAAATCCACTTCCTTATAGGGGATTATTTTGTTATTATTTATTTATGTATTTATTTATTATTTATTTATTTATTTATTATTTCAATTATGTTAGTCCAATGCTACTGGTGATTTCTATTAGAGATACCTTTTAAACAGACCCAGTGCAGAACAAAATTAAAGATAAGCACAAAAGTTATACTTACAGTTGGGATACACGATGCTTCCATACGGAGGATAGGAGAGCAGCACAATCTGAAAAGCAAACTGTGCGATGGCGTTGACCACTGTGAAGAACAATACTGACTTGAGGTAACGTCCTGTATGTCCTGAAACACAAAAACATCACATCAAAACCCTGAGTAAATTGTTTCAGTTCAGCACTAACATAGCCAGAATTAGAAACTACAGTAGTGATAATAGTTAGAGGACAAGAAATGCAACAGGAAAAATGAAACCATAAAAGATTGTTGTTGGGACATTTTTAATTACAAAGGGTAAGCTAACTTGTTTACAGTATACTAATCAAATAAAATAAAATCAATTTATTGACACAAATAACGTTACATTAGGTGCTTATAGCAGTAACTGGTGTCTTGTCAATTACATAAATCTTAATAATAAAATACAATGGAAAAAACATTTTACATAAAACATAGAAAATTACAATAACAATAAAAATGTACAACCCAAGGCTGTGTCTGCTAAAAAGTCTGAGATTACGATTAAAGAAGTACGATTAAAGTAGGTTAATTAGGTAATAAAGCTGGTGTTGGTTTCTTTGGTTTACAATTTTAAGGTAGTTTAGTGTATAATAAGTTTTATAGTATCACATCTAGTTAAAAAAAAAATAATAATCAAGTTTTACAGAAGTATAGTTAGGATAAGATTGAATAAGATTGATAAGTTTTGTAACACATCTAATAATGGCACCATTTTCAGTAATAGGGAGCCATGGTAGACATTCCTCCTACTGTGTTACGCGGTATTTAGCAATTTGTTAAAGTAGTGTAGTTAATAAAAATTTTAATAGAAATTTTACAAAAAAGAGGTACAGTAAAAATTCAACAATTAATTTATACACTAAAAAAATTTTCAATTCCAGCTCCATCTTTAAATTCCGTCGCTGACCGCCATTTCTTTCTAGTTTGTCTCAGATACATACTGGTTGCCCTTAAAATTGCACAAATTGTTCTTGATCATATCCAATTAATTACCAAACTGTACGGTTTTTTTCCATTTGTCTGATAATTTTTCAGTTATATCCCTTAAAAACATTTGGAATTCATTCCCAAAAATTCCATCAACACTTGTGACAAGAGGAGTAAATGATGCATGACGTTGTTCGCAAGCTTTTGTATACTTTTTTTCATCAAACATAAATAAGGTTAATCATAATGTTAATCATAACCTAAATTAGCCTATAATTATTTATTTTGATATTTTTTATTCGATTATAAAAAGGTGTGATATGCTCAAAGTGTCTCAAATCATAAGCTCGAGCAATAATGTTGTTGCTGCACATGTCATAGCTTGCACCGCTTCTATAAAAATGATTTTACTGTGTACTAAAAGCTTTAAATAGAACAGATAAAACAAACCATTATCGAAATAATTACTTTAAATCTTTTAAAGTTCTAGATTTATCAACACTGTGCTCCAGTGAGTAGGTGTCAATTTATTGGACAGAATTGATCTTGTTGGTTTAAGTAGGGTCAAACAGGTGATTCATGATTAAAGAAGAAATTGTGTAAAATGAAAGGATGGGAATCACCAGGAATCACACAGAAAGTGAAACTTGTTGTAAGTGTTTTCAACAATGAATTACCTACTAAAATAATCTAATGCCTAACCAATGATTATTGTTTAGCTGGTTAATAAAACAACTTTATTGCTTATAGATTTTTCCATATTTTTTTTATATTTGCAAACAAATATCAGCTTTATAAGCCGAAATGGAATGCATCATACAATTGTTGTACTATTACCTACTAAAATAATCTAATGCCTAACCAATGATTATTGGTTAGCTGGTTAATAAAACAACTTTAATGCTTATTGATTTTTTCATAATTTAATTTATATATTTTCAAACAAATATCAGCTTTATAAGCCAAAATGGAATGCATCATGCAATTACTGTACTATATCTAATATGAGACATTCAATTAGGCCCTCTTGCAAAATTTGCTACTCATTTTAGGCCCATTTACAAAAAAATAAAGCGCAGAATTTGGTATTGTGTAATTTTAAGGAAAGGTGTGTATTGCTACCTCCAATATATCGCCACTGCAGTAGACTCCCTTTTATCCGGACACCTTTTAACCGAACTACACTCAGCGGAAATGACATCTCTTTAACCGGACAATTTTAATCAGCACATCGGTTTAACCGGACTAGATCGGCAGGAATGCGCGGTACTGAAACGAATATTCTCGTGGGAAAGATTTGAGAGCAGTGATCACGTGTCTAAATGCAATGCTCTCCTAAATTTAAGTCAAATATGTATACAGTATGCATTTAAACAGTCCGTTTTAATGAGTTTTAGGGGACGTCTGTTTAACCGGAAAACCCGGTCCGAGGAGTCCCGATAAGAGGGAGTCTACTGTATCGCTTTATCTTAACTTATCTGTACACTTGCCATTCTGTTATGAATTTGTTGTTATAAAAACATTTTCTGTTCCAACTTTTACGTTAATATAATTGAGACAAATAAATAGTAAAGTCTTACCTAAACAATCCTTATTATTGTGGTCCGATATTAATTTCAAACCCGTAGGTTCATCATCAGTCGGAAGACTTAGGTAGACCAAATTTTGTTATAAAATCCACCCGATGGGTTTCGTAGAAAAGTTGACATTTAACACGAAGACACACATTACAGTTGACATAAATAATATTCGTAGTTTAGGGATAAAAACCATGGATTTATAAAACAGTGGGATAACCAGTGGGGACAGTTCTGCCGGCAGCGTGTTCCCTGACTGAAGTGAGGTTATCCCACTGTTTTATAAAACCATGGTTTTTATCCCTAAACTACGAATATTATTTATGTCAACTGTAATGTGTGTCTTCGTGTTAAATGTCAACTTTTCTACGAAACCCATCGGGTGGATTTTATAACAAAATTTGGTCTACCTAAATCTTCCGACTGATGATGAACCTACGGGTTTGAAATTAATATCGGACCACAATAATAAGGATTGTTAAGGTAAGACTTTACTATTTATTTGATTATATAAGCAATCCAGAGGCTGAAATGATAGATAATTGAGACCTTGTGTTATTTTCATAATACTGTTGCTTTTTGTACCTGAAGTTCGGATTTTTGTGTATTTATTTTTATTACTTGACTATTTTAGCCAAGATATTTTAACGTACAATTGATTAGGGTAGTTTATATTATCCAACTTTAAATAACTGACATCAAGGGTGTAGTGTAAAAACTGTCAAGAGGGCTTATTTGCACTTTTAATATTTAACTTAACTAATAAATCATGTGTTTTTCTCAATCTCGAAATTATCACTACAGTAATGGATTTTAATAATTTAGGACTCCATAATATAGTCCTGCATTTCAATTCCAATAAATTAGTATATACCTTTGATAGTTTCGACTGTGGCCACTGGTGCGATGGGGTTGTACAGTAACAGTAGAAGGTAGACGAAGGAGAGGCCATTCTGCCGAAGGACACAACCTGCAAAAAAAACAATGGTTGAAAAGAAACTGTTGAAACAAAATACCCCCACTGCAGCCAAAACGAAACATTAAATCAGTCCCTAGTTCAGGTCTTACCATGAGACCTACGGTAATATATTATCCCTATATGGGAAATTTGATTACACAACCTGCAATGTAAAGAGTGGTTAAAAAGAAGACCTGTTTATTACAAAACATAATCTACAATGAAAACTGTGGTCAAAAAGAAACCCCTGTTGATTACAAAACATAATCTGTGATAAAAATTGTGGTTGAAAAGAAACTCTGATGATTACAAAACCCAACCTGAAATGTAAAGAGTGGTTGAAAAAGAAGACATGTTGATTACAAAACATAATCTGCAATGAAAATTGTGGTTGAAGAGAAGCAATTTTGATTACAAAACATAACCTGCAATGTAAACTGTGGTTGAAAAAAAACTCTTATGATTACAAAACACAACCTGCAATGAAAATTGTATGTAACAAGATACGCTCTATGGATTACAGTTCTACTGATAGATGAATTACATCAAATTCTTTATATCACTATTCGGGTAGACACATTAAATTATTTGTCATATGTATATATGTTGCAGCTGATTTACGTTTTGGAAAACCTCAGCTGTTGAGCTATTGTTTGAAAGGTAGGATCATGTGGAGGGGATAGGTATCTTCTCCTAAAACCACCTAAATTTTGTGAACGGACTATAGTATAGTTAGGCTATGTTCTTGAACTTCAAATCTGTTTTGAAATGTATCCGTTCAAATGGGATACTGACATAGACATCCCATCTATGTGGACTAGCAGTGGCCATTTTTTTTTCCAAAAATTACGTAGTTGTGTTAACCAGTCACAGAATGTGCTAATGTCTTAAGTATTATTTTCTACCTTTAATTTTGCTGACTTAGTTGATGGGTTAAAAAAGATGCTATAGCTCATACTATATTTGTCCATCTGTTTAACTTGGTAAAAAAGATTGTGTATTCAACCAAAACCGTTAATTTATATTAGCACAATCTGTCGGCGACGATTTTTATTAAATAACTGGCGAAAACATTAACATGACTATGGAATGTCTAGTTTTATCGATAGTCAAAGCTTCTACCCAAGTTAAATTATTTCAACCAAATTCCATTTCATTATCCATAGGAAAAGGAATCAAAGAATAAAATAACCTGCACACCAGTAATAACACAATTCAATGTAGGTCATGTAGTAGTTTGGAATAGTTGGAACGATCAATCTAAATTTGAAAGAAATTGAATGATGTATATGAAAAATTGCTAAAATAAATTATGATGAAAGAGGCAGAGCAAGATCAATATGAGCCGTCCATACCCCTGGTGGAGAATGGAACCTCCACTAACATTTACCTCAGAAAGGTTACCTGCCGCCGCGGACACTCTCAACGTAACTGGAGCGTAGAGTATTTTTGGAATATGAAAAATAGACGTTTGAATTGAACAGAAATGTGATTTTTATGCATAAAAAAATGTATTTACAGCAATGAGTTTAGTGTATGAGACATCTATGTTACAAAGCAAGGGTGAATTCAATCATTAAACCAGGACACACCACTTTTCATGGTTTATTTTAAGACCTCGATCAAGTAATAAGGTTAAACCTAGCTGGAAACCTTTTTGAGTAGGCTACTCAATCTCCAATTTAGATCCGGGGGGGGGGGGGGGCGAGCTGGTCTAGTGGTAGAGCGTGGGATTCCGTATTCTGAGGTCTAATGTTCAAATCCCACCAATCACCAATATATTTGAGTAAGTAACAAGAGCCTATATTGTAATTACCTTCTATCGTAGGCTAAAGTAATGGGCTAAACAGTTTTGGGCTAGAGCCAAGTGTGAACGTGGAACATAAAAACAAAGCTATAATGAGAGTTAGGCCTAACACCTCTTAGGCTAGACTATTATTTATTTCAAAGTATATCTCCTTCCAGCTAACTTTTGAAAATCCCGTTTTAGGGTTTATAGACCAATGTTTAAGAAGAGCAGATGAAATACTAGGCGTTAATTTCATCTTAAATTTTATGAGAAGAAGAGGAGTAGGCCCTAATCAAAAATGACAAGCAACAATTTACTTCTTAAAAATTGTGATCAACTTGGTGCAGGCCTACAAAACAAAGAAAAATATATTGTAAGCAAAATCAGTTCACATTTATCAAGAATTCATCAACAACGAATCTAGCTACAACATGGACAAGAAGCATTTTGACCAAGGATAAACCTAATTTTAAAATCACTAATGTGTTGTTGAGTAGGTTACCTCCCGCTATCTCCGCGTCCCGCCATCTCCGTGTACCGCTATCTCCGAATTTCAGAGTGACCCCTATAATCCTCGGTTACTTCTTGCGTTAAGACTTTCCGTTCAAACCTATCCTAACCTAACTTAACTTAACTTAACTTAACTTAACTTAACCTAACCTAACCTAACCTAACCTGACCTAACCTAACCTAACCCACGGGTTAAATTTTCATCAAATCTTCCATCCACGGAGCTTCGCAGCCGTGGATGCAATGACAGCTAACAACGCAGGCAGTGACTGGATTAAAAGGGTCACTCTAAAATTCGGAGATAGCGGGACAGATTTGGGTTCGGAGATAGCGGAACGCGGAGATAGTGGGAGCACACGGTTGAGTAATACTGATAACCTTGGCAATTATCGTTATCAGCTGTATTTGTCTCCAGGGGTTGTCGTTATCAGTAGTTGCATGACTACCGCGCGTACACTGTACAGTATACAGGTCGACTACACTCAGCTGATGGTACTGACTGACATAAACATAGTGTATCACCACAAGATCTACTCTTATCACTAGGGGGGCAGTTATCATCATTACACTTGACTTATCACACTCGTTATGGATCTCTAACCGTTCTACATATTCAAAATGTACAAGTGGTGAATCTATTTGGAGTATTTTGATTATACATTGCTTGGTGCTTTGACAGCTGGCTTAGTTGAAACATACTTTACACACTACAATGCGAAAAAGATGGACGATCCAAACAACACTTAAAACGTCTCCTTTTTTATGTATAAATATAGATTTATAAATAATCGTGATGTGATTTGTTCTGTATTAACGTACTGCACAAACTAAATTGACATAAAATGTTTGTTGTCGTTAGGTGGGAATTACTACAATAGAATTTTGGTCTATATCTGCACTACTAAAATGTCATTTTGTTTCTGTTTTTAGCGTAGACAGACCTGTAACCCAACACAACATTATTTGGCTCTAGAGTCTCTATTTAATTGAAACAAACATATTTGTTAGTATTTCTAAGTGGTTCAAAAATTGTATTCTCATTCTGTAATGTGACAAGTAGAATGTTTTTATATTTAGAGCAGTCGGGTTGTGGCGTAGACTTGTATCCGACTTGGTTATATCACAGACAATGTCCGTTACGAAAGTGGAAGGCTACAAACCTTTTTTTCTGATCTTTTGGAGTTGGACCGTGGTTCACCCATTTTTGATAAGATAAGATAAAACCAAGAAATTAATTGACCACTGCTGAATTCTTGAAAGAGACTTCCTACAACAGATGGTTCAATGTTTTTTTTGTACGGCGGATAAGTGCGGTGTATGAGCTAACAGTAGCCTATAAACCATATGAAGTTACAGGAACTCTTTAAAATTTACTGTCAATTACATTTTACAGTACAAATTACAACAAAATTTTCTTTAAATATTTCTGGGTCCAAGATTATTGACCTACGATTATTTGACTAAGTAGAAATTGGAAACTAGCCACACTGTACATCAATATTGTTGTAAGCAAGTCCTGGGCGGATAGAACTCGTTGATATAGATTATTACAACCAAAAACTTCAATTATGTAATGTATAGAATTATAAGTCCAAAAACTTTAGTTTAACTGTTTTTTCACTCTATAGGATTTTGCCAGAAGCTGTTAAAGCACAGTACATTGGCAGAGAAAGAAGTGTTGTTCACGCATAACTTGACATTTCGCATATGTTTCGCCAGTTTTACAATAGAGACACCAAACAAATAAATAAAATGATGATTTTCCGTTGTTTGTAGTAGATGTTATACACATTAACCTAAAACGGGACGAACTACTAACGGTTACCCTAAATAGCTAACTAAACAAACAAACCCTCTTCACTGAGATAGTAAACGGTTGATCTTTATAGAAACCAAATGGCAAACATAGAAAAATAAACCACTTAGCACGCCAGGGAGTTTCTTTCAAAGTTAGTTGATTTGTATAACAGGCCTTTTAGCTTCTTGTGTGTAAACAATCTCAAGTAGTGTTTGGAGCTCCAAAGAACATTTAAATCCGTGCAGAAGAGGCTGTAAATCGTCTAGCTTACGACGTCTTATGTATTTCAGAAATTAGCCAATATATTCGTCATACAGTAGTTTGATTTCAGAATGTGACTGTTCACGACAGCTAAGAACTAAAAAAACTCGTTTCGAAACTAATATTATTTTTTTGAACAATCGATGTTTACGTTTGAAATTTATTGCGATTCTTGTGCCTACTGGGGATGAATGGAACCTCGGCTTGAGGCGGGGCAGTTCATCGATCGTCGAAAAACTAGGTCGCTCACCCCGTCACCTTTACCTCACCACGTGTCTTCCTGAGTCACCACTCATCTCTCACCACTTCCCAGGAGAGCAAACTATGTTGTTCACCCCGTCACCTTTACCTCTCCGCGTGTCTTCCTGAATCACCACTCATCTCTCACCACTTCCCAGGACAAACTATGTTGCTCACCCCGTCACCTTTACCTCTCCGCGTGTCTTCCTGAGTCACCACTCATCTCTCACCACTTCCCAGGACAAACTATGTTGTTCACCCCGTCACCTTTACCTCTCCGCGTGTCTTCCTGAATCACCACTCATCTCTCACCACTTCCCAGGACAAACTATGTTGTTCACCCCGTCACCTTTACCTCTCCGCGTGTCTTCCTGAGTCACCACTCATCTCTCACCACTTCCCAGGACAAACTAG